CCTCCCCATCCCGCCTGCCGCCCCATCCCGCCTGCCTCCCCTTCTCGCCTGCCTCCCCGCCTCGGGCTCAGACGCCCCGCCTGGAGGCTGGCCCCGTTTGCTTGGCACGTCCGCCCGCTGTTTTGCTTTCTCCTGGGAATTCGGCTTATATGCATAAGTAAAACATTTATGGCCACTGGTTACTAGGATTTGCTCTCCTTTCCTGCATTTTTGGTCATTTGCTTCTCTTTTCTCAATGGGAAAAGAAGGAAAAGGTTAATTTCTCTTATATTTGGAAGAGGGATGGTAAGTGAATAATAAAGTCACAACAAACTCCCTCATCTGTGTGCAGATTATCAAGTCCATCCCTCCTGGCAGGTTTTCCGCTTCCCTGTCTCCCTTCCCTTCCCCCCGCCCCAGCTTAAGGGCGGCATCCTCAGGATATACTGATCTGCAGAATTGTTTTGAAAACTTAAGATGCCCTAAGCGGAAGGGCATCTTAGCCGCATGTCAGCGCCGTGAGGACTAGGATTTTCCCGTTGTGTTCACTGCCATTTCCCGTTGTCTAGAACAGGGCCTGACATATAGTAAGCACTCAATAAATATTTCTTAAATGAAAAAATAACTTGTATTTCCCGAAGTCAAATAGAATGGTTTTTGAGTCATCCACTATTTTGGATTATGAGGATGATGTTCCCCTCCCCTGGGATCATCAGTTTAACAGTGAGGGAGAGGAGGCTTTTACAGATAAGGTTACAAGCCAGTCACGCGTGGTTCAAACCCTGCCTTTTGGCTCTGCTGGCTCCCCTGGCATGGGGCGAAGTTCGATGAGCGAGTAATGAGTCATTTCAAAATGAGCTCCAGCGTCTCTCTTACCTTTGCAGCTCCAGAATTCAAAAGCTGTGATCCAGTCAAAGGACACCACCATCCAGGAGCTCAAAGAGAAAATCACCTACCTGGAAGCAGAGGTGTGTGTGCTGGGCCACCCCGGGAAGGGAGCAGACTCTCAGAGGGAGCGCTGGGCGGGAGGAGGGAGCTGCTGCTCAGAAGTCAGGACCTAGGGTGGTTGGTCCCTCTTCAGATCAGCTGAGTAAACATTTTCTGAGAACCATCAGAAAAGGTCAGACCCGTCCCCACCCTGAAGGGCGGCATCATCATGGTACAAGCCCCGTGCCCTGCAGCGTGGGGACAGGCCCTTCATTCTGACCACGAGCTTGGCAGGGGAGCTGACGACGGAGCTGCGCTTTGAAGGCGGAGGCCTCCGTTAGGTGGACTCTTCTCCATGGCTCGTTTAGCTGATGAGTTCTTCCTAACTGGCGCCTTCCCTCAGAGCCCCTCCTGCCTAAAGATCGCTTTGCAGCCGCTGTGCGCAGATTAAAAGGGGGGGGGAAAAAAAGGAAGGGAGACACGGCTCTTGATCTTCAGGGAGTTTGCAGTCTCGACTTAGAGATAAAATACATTTAAAAAATAAAAGGTCGAAAAACTGCTTTATAGAAGAGCATATCGACAGGTGCAACTAAATATCTCGGCTGACTCCAGGAAATGACCCGTGCTGCACAGAGCCGCTGAGGGGACACAGCCTCGGGAGGGACGGGGGCCGGTATTGGAGGAAGAGGTCCTGGGGTGGTGGCACGCGTGGCAGGGATGGGGGTGACAGCAGCAGCACACACACACACACACACAGAGGCGGGGAGACCGGAACGAGCAAGTTAACATGTGACCAGTGGCAAGCCAGAGAAAGGCCAGTTCTAACGTCACAGCTTGTGTCACAGAATTTAGAGATGCACGACCGGATGGAACACCTGATCGAGAAGCAGATCAGTCACAGCAACTTCAGCACCCAGACCTGGGCCACGACAGAGAACCTGGGCGGGTGAGTGGGTGTGCGCGGGGTGGACCCAGGAGAACCTGGGTGGGTGAGTGGGTGTGCGCGGGGCGGGCCCAGGAGGCAGTGCAGGAAAGCGGGGCAGGGACCGGCTGTGGGAGGCCTTCGGGGTGAGGGCAGGGACGAGGCTCTCTGCAATCCAGCTGTGTTCTCTCGGTCTCTTAATCCGACCCATTCTCAGCCCGAACTGTTTTCTAAGCAGATCAGAGTAGAACCTGCTCCCACACCCCCGGGCGGCCCACCACCAGCCGCTGGAGGTGTATGAACCCCAAAACCGTATGCAGAGATCGTGTGTGTACAGTACGGGTGCATTTCCAGGAGGAGGGGCTTCCCCACCACCATGCCCCACCCCCAGGAGATTCCCGGAAAGGTCTGAGACTCTGAAAAAAGTCAGGAATCCCAGCTAGACCCACTTCTCAGTCGTCTGACTGCCCCCGCTTTTCGTGACCCCTGCCGCCAGAAGGAAGTGCCACCTCCGAGTCGTCCCTTAGGCGTCACCGACCGTGACTGTTTCAGAGCGTTCGGGACGCACGTGCTTCGCGTGGAGTAGCGCGGGACTCAGTGTTTCCGCTTCCTTTCCAGCGTCAGGATAGCCAAGCCCCCCAGCCCGAAGCCCATGCCGCTCATCCGCGTGGTGGAGACATGAGCTGCCGGACGCTGTCGCCGCCGATGCAGCCGCCTGTCGCCTGCAGAGGAGCCCGCCACCCCCGCCGGCCGTTGGACTGACTTCGACTTTCCGCCTGTCCCCCGGCCGCACTCAGGACTTGGGGCTCGCGTGCCCCGCTGTCCCCAACTCCTGTCCTCCGTGTGCCGGGCGCGTGGAGGACGAGCCCCGCCTGGGAGGTGGCACGCGGCCGCAGGAGCCAGGGCGCTGGCCTCGTCTCCACGGCGACTGTTTTTTTTCTTAGAGCCTCCCTCCTGGTGCGGACCGGAGTCCAGCCGCCCCAGAAGCAGGCCCTCGCCCAGGCGGGAGAGGCCAACAGGCGACAAAACTGGCCTCAGCCCTAGAAGCTGGAGGCACAGATATCCATAGTGATCGGAGAGTGTCCTGGGGGAACGAAGTTCCTTCCTCAAACGCCAACGCCACGGAGGTCTTCACGACAAACTTTGTTTTCCTCCTTGCTCTGCCCTCAGCTCGAGCTGACCCAAGCCACCTTTGGATGGAAAACCGGCCACCTCGCCATGACGGGCCCGCCCGTCTTTCTGGGGAGGATGGAATTTACATTCACGGAGTAGCTTTTAGCAGAAAGGTCCTGTAGCGACACAGACAGTTACATGTAACTCTGCCGTGAAGACGCCCAGAATCCCTTAGGGTTTTCCCCGAGGACGCGGTCCGGAGTCCACCTGCCTTCCTGACTGACTCGGAGCCTAAAAACTGTTTTCACTGGGTTACATCCATCTCAGCGAAACTCTCGTATTTATTTTGCTAAGTTATTGGTGTTTTGCTTATAGCTCGTGACCGATTCTGCGCCAGGGTTCGACAGCCTTCTCTTGCAGTGTTTGGATTTGCTTGACATTGGGACAAGTGTCCCCACGGGACGTTGTTTCCAAATGACATCGTCGTAAAGATTTCTCTCTCTCTTCGCCTGCTCCTGTCGGCTTCCTCCTCCACGCCCCATCTGTAGCTCAGGAAGGCCGGGCATTTGCCCTGAGGCCTCGGGTCTGAGCATGTTGTTTGGGGGAAGAGGGCCATAGGGACCTTTGGGGAGGCGTTGGATTCTCCCGCTGACCGCTCCGCATCCCTCTGCTTCCGAGCTGGTCTGTTATCCTGGTCTGAATGACCGCCACTTGTGTTTTCCCTGGGGTCCTTCCTGCAAGGAGCTAAATGAGCATCCGCATGTGGTATTAGAGCACAGAAAGCTTACAAGTCAGCATAGATTAAGTCTTCGGGTTCTGTTTGGCTCCGACCCGGAAGCCTTACATCTGCGCTTCTGTCGCATTCTGGCTTCGTCCGTCGTGGTGTTGTGGTTGCTTTACGCAGATTTCATTCGTGAAACGGGGGTCAGACCCGCACAAGCTCCGTTGGGCCCTTCCAGTTCCGATGTTCCTTCCTGCGGCGTGTTCTCTGTGTGGTGAATTTAGTACATTATACTTGTGTGTCTCATTGAGTTCCTGGCCTGGTTTCTTTTTACATTTCAGGGCGGGTGAAAGAGCATGATTTTAGTGCCTCTCGAAGATGGGCACCGGGTTGTCCTCATCTGGGAGGTGTGGTCCACACCGTGAGGCGAGGACCGTGCGGCGTGTGGGGACTTGGGACGTCCCTGCTACACAGCTGGGCTCCGCGGCCTGAGCCCTCGTGAGCTGAGGCGGCCCCGACCTTCGCTTTGCCCCTGTCTGGGGCGGGGGCCTTGTGCGGCCCCTAAGCGAGCCAGTGTGTCCTCAGTGGAGGAAGAACTGGCCAGAGTTCTCGTGATTAGAGATTCGCCGAGAGCGCTGGGAGAAGACAAGTAATTCCATGTTCTTTGCAGAAACGACAGTCACTCTGGACATGCCACCTACAGCCACTCAAGACTTTAGTTTCGTGCTATTATCTCTGGGCATCGTTCAGTTAGTCCAATGATCTTTTTCTTTCTGCCAAGAATGCAGTTGACTGGGGACGTAGCTGGATTTACACAGATCTTCTCTGGACCAAAGGACCTGGAGATGCAACCCCCTTCACCCCTGGCAAACCCCCCTTTCTCCTTTAATTCAAAGAACGTAAATTTTCTCTTAGAATTTTTCTTCCCCTCTCTCTGGGTTTCAGAACGCGTGGGAAACCTGCTCCAGGCCTGGGTCTGTCTTCTGACAGCCACGGGTCCTGTCAGAAGACGGTCCGGCTTGGCGGGGTGTATCTAGACTGCGCTTGTTCTCAGAACGTTGAGAGGTGGAGCAGAGCGGGGTCGCCTCAGGTGCCAAGAAGGCGTGCCGGGCTGGAGGAAGCCGGAGAGTGAGTGCCCGCCAACCGGAAAGGGAGGCTCTCTCGCCTTGGGCCTGGAGGGCTAAGCAGAGATCCAGGCTGGAGATAATTCCATGGTCTGAAGACACAGTGGAGACTAGAACCAGGGCACCGAGAGATTCCTGGGCCAGAGAAGTGGCTCTGGTGACTTTTGCTGAGTTTGGTTGTATGGCTGCCTCCGAAGCGCACGGGGGCTAAGGCGGGCCTCGGGGAGGAGGAAGTGGTTGAGGGAAAGGTAGTTTATATCTTGGCGGCCTTTTCAAGTGGAGATGGACAGGGAGCGGGGAGGAGAGTGAGGTAAGGCCCAGGGCCTGGGGAGGTGCGGTGACTTCAGGGGCCTCTTCATTGCCTGATGGCCCGTGTCCCCTGTCCTGTCATCCTTAAGCCAACTCCCCTGTGCCTCTTGAATATTTGTGGAGGGAAGATCTAGTCTGACTCTCTGGGACCTTTGCCACGAAGACCAGTTTCTTTGAGCTGCCCAAACACGCAGCTGTCATCAGCAGCCTCCCGTAAACTGGGAGCAGCAGCCCGATGTCGGAAAAGCAGCTTACAGGAGCACTCCTTACCCCCCGAATGCCCCTGTCCCCCCAACCTCTTCATTTGTCCCGTCCTCTGATTGGGAAAAAAAAAAAGAAAAAAAGCCTAATAAGGACATGGTGTTTCAATCAAACAATGTATCTGGATTTTTTTAAAACTCGAGTTTCTAAAGCTAAAAGTTGATTTTCTCATTTTCATCTCTATTTAAAACAACCTTTCACTTTGAAACAGCCCAAGATTGACTCTGGAAAGATGATCTGACATATTTGAACGAGGAGGGTGACTTCCCCTGGGGTAGAGGAGCACCCCTCTCTTTCACGGGGTCTTCGCATCGTGTTGCTGGTTTCTGTGGGCCTCCAACCAGCCCCTGGGCACCCTCATTCCTCAGAGCCAAGCTGTGGAGTTTGGGCCTGAGCTTGTTCGGGCTCTGACCCAAGAGAGGTGAGCCTGGGGCTCTTGGCCTCTTTTCCATGCTTCAATTTAGGAGTCTGGCTTTGCAAGGAGAAATTGTTCCCTATCTTCCCTGTCCTAATTCTATACACCGTGGCCTCAAAACTCAGCGTTGGAGACCTAAATATGCTGCAGCCCCTCCTTCTCCAAGGAAAACCCTTGTCCAGGCTGAGGGGAAAGGAGAGGTTTTATAAAGGCGAGCCAGGTCTGGCTCCATGAGCTCTGCAGGTTGGCAGGGAGAGCTCTGAACTCCAGCCTTATCGCTGGAATCTTCCCGGGAGACCTTGGGCTCGTAGTACTGAGGGCACATGGTGGCAGCGTGATTCATTCCTGACGGGGTGTTGGTCACCAAGTCTTACACCTTGGGATCTTGGCCAGGGAGAAGGAAGTCATTTGTCCCCATGCCTTAAACCACCAATTCAGTGCTAATGGCACCCCTAAGCCTTTCCTCCCTCTCTCCAGTATCCCAGCTCAAACTCACATGTGTCTGCAGGAGTTTGGGGACCCTTACATCTGCTTCATATCTGTGTGTGTGCGTGTGTGTGCGTGTGTGAGAGAGAGAGAGAGAGAGAGAGAGAGAGAGAGAGAGAGAGAGAGCGAGCGCGAGCACGCTGGCCGACTGTGTAAAATATATTATTTCGTAAACACTGGTGTTTAGGAAAAACTCGGTTTTCTGCCTGTATGTCTCTTGCACTGCTTGTACACAACATGTCACTCTGAAATGTCTGGTTGGGGTTCCCCTACACCATGCGATTCTCTGTGACACCGGCTGGGTGTCCTACAATTTAACTCTATTCTGAAGGGCTCGGTCCCACGAGACTCCCCCGACTCCAGACATCGATCGCGAGTAGTAGGTCCCCAGGTTACCCACGACTTCGGTCCGACTTGGCTACAGATTGGAGGTTCCCATGACCCCCTGTTCCTCGCCCCTGGCTTTGGTTAATTTGCTAGAGCGGCTCACAGAACTCAGGGAAACTTCCATTTACCAGTTTGTCGAAGGGTGTGATAAAGAATTAGATGAGTGTCCAGATGAGGAGATAAGTAGGGTGAGGTCTGGGATACATTTACCAGTTTGTCGAAGGGTGTGATAAAGGATAAGATGAGCGTCCAGATGAGGAGATAAGTAGGGTGAGGTCTGGGAGAGCCCTGAGTGCAGGAGCTTCTGTCCCGTGGAGCTGGAGTGCGTCACCGTCCCGATGTGGATGTGTCACCAACCTCACACTACTGGGATTCTGTGGCGGCTTCCTCACGCAGGCACGATCGATTATTAACTCCATCTCCAGCCCCTCTCCCCTCTCTGGAGGAGGCAGGTAGGGCTTCTAATCATGGCTTGGTTGTTCTGGTGACCAGCCCCCACCCAGGAGCCACCCAGAGTCACCTGATGAGAACCAAAGATGCCCCTAGTGCTCTATCGCTTAGGAAATCACAAGGGTTTTAGGAACTTTGTGCCTGGAACCAGGGGCAGAGACCGCATCTGTGTTTTCTACTGTCTCCCCCTCGTCTGTAGGACACCCCTGGATCAGGTAGCTTCTCGGGGTCGGGAGGTCTGAAACCGTCTTCCTTCCCAACTGCCTCTCCTATTCAATCTCTCCCACTTTCTCTTAGTAGAGAGACTCCTTCAGGGACTCAGGCCAGAACTTTTGAAGTCATCACCTTTCACTCCCCTTTCCCTTCCCTCATCCCTTACATCCAGTTTGTCAACAAGTCTTACTGTTTCCTCGTTCGAAATCTCTCTCAGACTCGCCCCGTTCCTCAGCCAGTCATGAAGCCTGGATGACAGAGGCCGGTCCTCGCTGGTCCTCCACCTTCTAGCCTAACCTGCCCCAGATCCACTCTTCTCGCCACTGGCATTTGAATCTTTCCCAAATACTACTTCATCCTATCCATCAGGGTTATTTAGCCAGGACGAAAGAAGGCTGATGGGAAATACGATAGCAGTCTCCAAAGCGGTGAAAATTTGTCCTGAAGGAGAGGTAGTTTCGCTCTGTCCAGTTCCAGAGGACAGAACTCAGACCTGTGAGTGGCACTTGCAGGAAGAAACCAAAGAATGCCTTGACGACGAGTGTCAGCTGGACTGTCCCATCAACTTACTGAGTTTC